GCCCACGATGACTATGATCGCAGAAATTAAGGGGAGATGGCTAGGATCAAGAAAAACTCTTCTTATTTCAAAATGAAGAGGTAACATAGTAAAGAACTATACTCTAAAAAGCTCATTTAAAAATCATAGGATTAATCTTTCAGTTTTCAAAGCATAAAAGCTGATCACTAAGAACTAGAACTGGCTATAAATTTCTGTTCTGTTATGGCGAGGTGTTTAAACTCATAGCAAATCATTTATTCCTTCTCAGTCTAAATGTTCTCATCTGATATAACAGGTAAGGAACACTAACATCACAGGTAAGTAAAAGAAAATTAAGCCAGGCGTGGTGGCTCACACCTGTAATCCCAGCTACTTGGGAGGCTGAGGCAGGAGCATCGCTTGAAACTGGGAGTCAGAGGCTGTGGTGAGCCAAGATTGTGCCAGTGCACTCCAGCGTGGGCAACAAGAGTGAAACTCCATCTCAAAAAAGGAAAAAAAAAAGAAATGAAAATTAAAATAGATAATGGATGAAAGAAACCCAACCAATTTTACAAACTGAATACACTCAACCTGTTGGGTATTTTCTTGTTTCCAAAATCTGCATTAACTACCTCTTCCATTTCCTGAACACACTCCTGGGATCGAAGTGGTTAAACATGAATTGCAGATTAAAAAAAGCAACAGCCAATGGTCGGAAAAGACTGACCTAGATACTATCCGCGGAAAAGGAATGAGAGCTGGGTGACCAAGATTCAGCTCAGCTGCCTGAGTGCAAAGATGTAGGCGCATTCTGAGCCCCACAGGTCTCAAGGTCACCCAGGATGAATGAAGCAGATATCCAAGATGCGAGGAAAAGCTTCTCTCCCCTTCTAGTTCTGATCTTTAACCATATGAAAGAAGGAAATTATATGAGATTTACAGCCAAAAAAATAAAAAATAAAAACGTTCCCAAGTTTCAGCTCTACAACTAACCGAGAAATAATTGAAAAGTTCTGCTTTGAGTCTTAATCTTTAAAAATGCAGGAAACAATAGTATCATATAGTAAAAAAATGAGAACTAATTGACATTATGAATATAAAGATCCTAGCACAATACTAAGCATTCTATAAATTTGATTTCTTTTTGCTATTTATTTTTACTATTTTATTTTATTTTTACTAGTGATTTATGTTGATTCTGCAAAAAGAGATTTTCCAAATTTTGTAGGAAAAGGCTCCCTGGGATTGGGCCCAATCCCTGAATCTTCAGTGCAATGCATGTAGAATTGTTTGATTTAGGGAGACTTTTAAAAGGATTTTCCCAACTTTAAGCCAAAGAGAGTATCCATTTTGTCAGGGTCTTTTAAAAAAAATATGATACAATTAAATACTGTAGGCACCCAAAACCATTTGGTGGAAAAAAAAAAAAAAAAAAAAAAAGAGACAATTATGTCCTAAGAGAAAGCCTATGTATCAGTTTTCTATTGCTAGATACAAAATTACCATAAACGTAGTAACTTTAAACAACACACATTTGTTATCTCAGTTCTGATGGATAAAAGAATCTGACTTGGCTTAGCCATGTTCTCTATTCCAGTCTCACAGTGAAACTGGGTGTGGTTCTCATGCAGGCCTTGCAGTCCTCTTCCAAGCTCACTAGGTTTTTTGGCAGAATTCAGCTTCTGAGGTTGTAGGACTCAGTCCCTGTAACCTTGCAGCTGTTTATTGGGGGCTTCTCTCTCAGCTTCATTCCATCTTCAAACCAGAAAAGCAAAGGCCCGTTGAATCCTTCTCACGCTCAGATTCTCTCTGACTTCCCCTTTGGTAAAGGACTCAGGGGATTAGACCATGCCTACAAAGATTATCTCTGTATCTTAAGGTCTACTGCCCAGAGACTTTAATTATATCTTCAAAATCTCATCCCAGCAGTACCTTGATTAGCAATTGATTGAATAACTAGGAGACAGGGATCTTGAGTGGCTACCTTTAGATATCTATTAATACCTACCACAGCCAGCTTCTTCTGAACACGAGCTCATTGTGGTTTTCATAGCAGTTTTTGTTTAACAGTCTTTTTTTTATAGTTATATTCACAAGTGTATCCACCACAACTAGCAACTATATTTCTTGGCACCTGCCATGGTTTAATGTGATTTGAAAGGACTGTATTCTGTCAAGTCTGTAGACTCAGCAGTGGAAAGGCCAGCTGTGAGGCCAAAATTCAATATTTTTTATGAAAGCTAAGAATAGTATCCCATACGCTCAAGTGTTCCTTGTCTGGAGCATGTCTGCCTATATCCAGAGAAGAAATATTTTTCTTTTAGATTTTACTAATTGATTAGATCGCTTTCAATTAGATCCTAACATCAGCCTAATGATACTGACCAAAAAAAAAAAAAAAAAACTTAGTAAAGAATTGTACTTATAAGAAACACTCAGTGTTTCAATCAGAAAGAATATAATAAAATATGGCAGGCACTCTGTATCACAGGTGCAGCATCCACAGATTCAACGAACTGTGGCTTGCAAATATTTAAAAAATTATAAATAAATAAATAATAGGGTGGGCATGGCGGCTCACATCTATACTCCTAGCACTTTGGGAGGCCAAGACAGGTGAATCACCTGAGGTCAAGAGTTGGTGACCAGCCTGGCCAACACAGTGAAGCCCCATCTCTATGAAAAATACAAAAAATAGGTTGGACGTGGTGGCCAAGCCTGTAATCCCAGCACTTTGGGAGGCCGAGGCGAGTGGATCACGAGGTCAAGAGATCGAGACCATCCTGGTCAACATGGGGAAACCTCGTCTCTACTAAAGATACAAAAAATTAGCTGGGCATGGTGGCACATGCCTGTAATCCCAGCTGCTCAGGAGGCTGAGGCAGGAGAATTGCCTGAACCCAGGAGGCGGAGATTGAGGTGAGCCGAGATCACGCCATTGCACTCCAGCCTGGGTAACAAGAGCGAAACTCCGTCTCAAAAAAAAAAAAAAAAAATACAAAAAATTAGCCAGGCATGGTGGTGTGTGCTTATACTCCTGGGTACTGGGGAGGCTGAGACAGGAAAATAGCTTGAGCCCAGGAGGTGGAGGTTGCAGTGAGCTGAGATCACGCCACTGCACTCCAGCCTGGGCGAGAGAGTGAGACTCTATCTCAATACATAAATAATAACTAAATAAAACAAATTAAAAACAATACAATATCACAACTATTTACACAGCATTTCCATTGTATTAGGTATTACAAGTAATCTAGAGATGACTTAAAGTACATGGAGGGTGTGTAGGTTGTTTGCAAATACTATCCCATTTCATATAAGGACTTAAGTATCCCCAGATTTTGGCATCCATGGGGGGTCCTGAACCCCATCCCTCAGGAATACAGAGGGATGACTGTATGGATATGATGGTATACACATAAATTCATCTATGTATACATAGTTGTATAAAGACTTTTTTTTTTGCTGGAGATTTGCAACAGTCTATTCTCTCTCAGTCTGATTTCCCTTGCCTACTGAATTGGCTAGATTCTGGACCCTTGCTAACTTCATTTAGACAATCATCTCTGGATTTCTTATGTGAGATTACACATTTTCCTCATGTGCAAGCCATTTTTTATTGATTTTCTTTGTTACCTATGGTCAAAAGAATTCCAACATAAGCTACAACCTTCTTGTCATTGTATTATACCTTTTTACAGAAAGAGAAAATAAAAATGAGTTTATAGACTGCTGACAGGTTTGGTGAAACATCTGCTGGACAAAGAAGTGTCCTCTGTAGATTTCAGTGGTGGGTGCGCAGATGCAGTTGATTTTTGTAGGGCCAGATTTTTGAAGAATGTCTTTTAAAGTATATCCAAAGACACTTTGAGAAAGCACAAGAATTGGAGATGAATAAAACTAACTTTTAATGATCATTTGTGGTCTGCTGGGCACCAAGCCATGTAGTGTAGGAGATACATGTTCTCATTAAATCCCTGACAAGTGGAAGAGGTAGATGTTTTCCCAAATGCTGATTAAGAAATGAGCATAGGGAGGTTTAAAGAACTTTCCCAAGGTCAGTGGAACTGGGATGTGAACTTGAGTTTGACCATAAAGCTTTTACATCTTCCTAAGCTTGAAAGGTGAGTGTACCTGTGGGGGGAAATGTTAACTAAGGGGTAACTTTTATCCCAATGTCCTTCAATCCTATTATTCACTAAAACGCAAAGTAGTCATGTGTTCAACAAATATTCATATACCAAGTACTTGACTTCACACAGGAGCCATAATGGTGAACCCACAAGCATGGCCCTCATCCAAAGGAGCTTACTATGGGGTCAGTATTCAAATTCTGACATATATAAATACCATATTGAAACCCTCAGGGCAAAACAGCATGACAACTTGAATTGTTTTTTACAAAGAAATTGAAATGTCCCAGGGGAGGGGATGGAGGACAGGACCTCAAGTTCTCTGGCCATCTGCTTTTGTGAGGCAGGTTCAGGACAGGTCTGATTCAGCTCTAAACACATTTTATTATACATTTCTTTCTCTTTCCCTTTCTTTTTTTTTTCTTTGAGACAGAGTTTCGGTCTCATTGCCCAGGCTAGACAGCAACGGCACGATCTCAGCTCTCTGCAACCTCCACCTCCTGGGTTCAATCAATTTTCCTGCCTCAGTCTCCTGAGTAGCAGGGATTACTGGTGCTCGCCACCCCACCTGGGTAATTTTTGTATTTTTAGTGGAGATGAGGTTTCATCGCATTGGCCAGGCTGGTCTCAAACTCCTGACCTCAGGTGATCCACCTTGCCGCAGCCTCCCAAAGTGCTGGGATTACAAGTGTGAGCCGCCGCTCCTGGCCACTTTCTCTTATTGCCATTCTGAGAAAAGAATAGTTTGTCCCTCTTGCACAAATTTCTCCCTCAGTGAACTACCGTTTCCAGGAGCAGCCCCGAGTCTCTGAGGTAAAAACAAAACAAAACAAAAGGTTATTCCGCTGAACTAAGTTCTGTTTGTTGCAAATACTTGAGACGTTTCTACCGTCCTTTGGTTTCTCCTAGTTCTTCAGAGGCTGTGACTGGAGCAATTACCAAGGATCACAGAAGCTGCCTAAAAGGAAGCTTCTAGGATTTCAAGGCTTCCGGGCTCTCAGGTGGGACAGTAAAGGCTCCTTCTCCTCCCCATGCCAGGCAAGATGACCCAAAAGGAAACTCCGCGGCCAGCTGACTCTAAGCAAGCTGGGGCAAGGCACTTCCAAGTGCTCTGTGAAGCTCAGACGGCGCTCAGGGTGAGCAGGCCCAAATATTCTTGGGGTTGTATTATCATATTGAGGCACAAGGGGGCAGTAGTGTCCTCCATGATAACTAGAAAAGCGATTTCTAGTTCTTTTTCTTTAGGGATTGTTCTTTCCCTAAGCTTGGTGCCTGTCTGGGTAAATTTCTTTCAAGAAATCTTATTTCCTTTTTATGAACAGTGACTGCCTTATTCCTACATTAGATAATTTAGAGATTAACTATTTCTGGGAATGGGGCCCAGAGACGCTGATTGCCTCCATTTTGGATACTTCATTTGGAATAGTCAGTCTGAATTCACAATAGCTGTTTTGGGATGTGAACTTGAGTTGGGCCACCTTTAATTTAGCCACCAAAATCTTGTAGATCTTAGAAAACGAATAAGCAAGACAACGTCACAAAAGTTCCAAAGCTTGAGCCTGAAAACCTTATGAAATTGTTACGTGTATGTGGGCTCAGGAGTCAAAGTTGCCTGACTCTGCTTTGCTGTTTAACAGAACACTTTAAACCTTTAAGATGAAAATGATGATACTACCCTATTTTACGGTTATTATAAGGCTTACATAAAGATAATCCATGTACGACGTCTAGCGTTGTGCCTGAATGTATAAACACCCACCACACATTCCCCACGGAGGGAATTGTTTCTACAATGACGCTCATTATGAACCTGTTAGCTTTTGTCATGTTTTCATGTAATGTGAGACGTTATGTTTATTCTTGTTAAATACCATCTGCTTATTTAATCTCAGAGGATTTTTAGAACACCACACCAATCTTCCGCTTTCTTAGTTATTACTCTCAGTTGTAGCTTTTGGAATTTGACAGCCCCTCGCTTAATGAGCCACTCCTATCACTTGCTAGCCTGGAATTTTGAGTAAGTTACTAAACGCCTTCAAGCTGGATTTTACCATCATTCATTTTTGCAGGACAGATTTTTGATACTCTGTGTCTGAGAGTGTAAGAAATGGAGATAAAATAATCAAGACAAATGATAAAAATCCCTCTTGGAGTTTGACGGCTATCAGAGAAGTCACACATAAAAAGTTCTGTGAAAATAATCACTCAGTCACAGTTGTGATAAGTGCTACAAACCTCGTATGGAAGGCGTAATCTGTAGGGTAGACTTCCCTGAGGAAGGGACATTTAAGTGAGGACCTGAAGGATGAGTAAAAGTAGCAAGAGATAGATCTGGGGAAGAGGCAAAGGAACATTGTGTACAAAAACCTGTGATGTGATTAAAGAGATGGAAAACGTGCCTGGGGTATTCGGTCTGAGACAAGGTTGGCTAATTCGGGGCCTGCTAGTTATGTTAAGAATCAAGGTCTTCGCCATTCCTAAGGTAGGTACAATATATGTGTTTTTCAGAGCTCTGGAGAGAATTAAGTGATGATTTATACCAAGTGCCCAGCAAAATCCCAATCACATTCTAAACGATCAGTAACCTCTTTTCTGTTTACCCTACCAGAGTTGAATTTTTACCTCTGGTTTCTTATTCATTCAATACATAGTTATTCAGCATCTACTGTGTACCAAACTGAACAAACCAAAGGGGAAAAGCAGACATCGTCTTGCCTTTATAGAAACTCTCCACTGATTAACTATTATGTTCTTTGTGCATATGAATTTATTTCAAGTGAACAGTAGTTTCAACATACATGGAAATTAAAGTCTTGTGCTCCAGTCTCCAAAATGTAAAAGTAAATAAAAGCAAGCACACAGGACAAACTCACATTGCCATGGATTACAATGCAAATAACGCAAGGTTATAAACTTGTATGTAGGAGTTGCTTCTGCATTTTTTTATTTGCTTTTGCTAATGACTAATAATAATGAGGCTGAGCCAGGCACAGTGGTTCCTGCTGGTAATCCCAGCACTTTGGAAGATCAAGGCAGGAGGATTGTTTGAGGCCAGAAGTCCAAGGCCATCCTGGGCAACATCGTGAGACCTAGTATCTTAAAAAAAAAAAAATTAACCAGGAGTGGTGGCATACTCCTACTCAGGAGGCTGAGGTGGGAGGATTGCTGAGGTGGGAGGATTGCTGAGGTGGGGGAGGCTGAGCTGGGACGATTGCTGAGGTGGGAGGATTGCTGAGGTGGGGGAGGCTGAGCTGGGAGGATTGCTGAGGTGGGAGGATTGCTGAGGTGGGGGAGGCTGAGCTGGGACGATTGCTGAGGTGGGAGGATTGCTGAGGTGGGGGAGGCTGAGGTGGGAGGATTGCTGAGGTGGGGGGCTGAGGTGGGAGGATTGCTGAGGTGGGAGGATTGAGCCCAAGAGTTTGAGGTTGCAGTGAGCTATGGTCACTACTGCACTGTAGCCTGGGCAACAGACAGAGAGACTCTGTCTTCAAAAATACATACATTAAAAATAATGATGATGGGCATTTTTACAATGTATGTGCTACCTATGATTAGAATAAGTCTCGGTGTTACTGAAAGTGCTAATAAGGTCTCCATCATATTATCTTAGGGGCTAAGAATCCTTCAGGAGGGGAGAAAGACTGGCCTGCTATTAGGTGTTATCTAATCTCCATATGGCTATGTTTTTCCTGAAACTGAGGCAGTCTAACGCTTATTCCTCTCTGTTTACCTGTTTTAATATACTGCTTATTTATCTATTTAATATGTACAAATTTTGTCTTCTGATAAAGGTCCAGAATCTCCAGGCTTAGAAAAGAGCCTCAAATCCCAATTATTGTACCACATTCACTTTTCATTTCCATCTGCACAGTTTTCATGTTTAGAGCTCATGGGTAGTCTAGACATTTATTTGCAAATATGATGAAGGTATTATTTCAATCAGCAAGAGATTCTCTTCAAAACTTATATGAGTTTATGATAAGAATTCTTATTCTCTCTAGTGAGGCATAAAGCTAAAAGTTTTGTGTTTTTTGCCACATAATGAAGGAAAAACAATGCATGCTCTTTTCCTAGCATCTCACACATATTTTCATTTTCTGGTTTACCAGTTGTTAACCTTAATGCATTCCAGAAGGAGAGTAGTATTTGGATTTAAATCATGGGAGCTTCACTTTTCGTTTCTTTTTATCTTTGCCGGGAGATGAGAAGTGTGGGGTGGTTTATTCCCTGCATGACCTCTCAAAACTGTTCTATCATCCAATACACTGAGCAAGATAGGGAGCGATTCCTTCAGCAGTTACAATGCTCGTATGAAAATAGACCCTTTTCTAAAAGAATTAGAATGATGTAATTTATTGTTTCTAGTTATACTTTAATTCCAACAATCTCCTTCCCATTTCCTTAACTCTACCTTTAGGAAAATACTTGTTTAATTCTACCATAAATATGTTTTATGTTTTTCATTTTATGCCACTGGGCCAGGCACTGTCCATTTTAAGACATATTTGTGTCAGCTAAACAAATCCAGTTCATCATTTCCGAATCAACAATGAACCAAATATTATTGTAGATTATATGTTAATACATAAGAGTACAGTTATTACACACATAACTATTTCTCCATTTTGGTGACCATTAGAAGGCAATTATAAATGAATGAAGGCACGATTACTTTAGATCAAAACATTGGGAAAAAAATGGATCTTCTTTAGGGAAATGTTTTATACTATACACTGAAAGTGTGTGTGGCCTTCAAATTCATATATTGAAATCTCATCTCCATTATGATCGTGTTGGGAGGTGGGGTCTTTGGGAGGTGTATTAGTCGGTTCTCAGGCCATTATAAAGAACAGTCCAAAATAAAAAAGGTTTAGTTGACTCACAGTTCCACAGGGCTATAGAGGCCTCAGGAAACTTATAATCATGGCAGAAGAGGACGAAAACATCCCTCTTATAAAACCATCATCCTGTGAGAACTCACTCACCATCATGAGAATAGCATGAGGGCAACAGGCCCATGATTCAATTACTTCCCACTGGGTTCTTCCCACAACACGTAGGGATGGGAACTACAATTCAAGATGAGATTTGAGTGGGGACACAAAGTGTAACAGGAGGTGAGTAGGTCATAAGAATGAACTTTCTAATTAATGGGATTAATGTCCTTATAAAAGAGGCCCGAAAGAGCTGCTGTGCCTCCTCTACCATGCCCTAGTGACATAATGAAAATATGGCCCTCCATGAACCAGGAAGAGGGGCTTCACCAGTCACCAAATCTGTTGGCACCTGGATCCTGGACCTCCCAGTTCCAGAAATGTAAAAAACTTCTGTTGTCTCTAAGCCACCCAGTTTATGAAAGTTTCTAAGAGTGGAGGTTGTAGATTACAGAAAAAAGGTACCCAGATGGATTCATGCAGCTTATGACACCATGAAGTTTGACGTTCCTGAGGGATATCCCAGAGAAGATGGAAAACCCGTAATTAGAAAACGTCTGGAACTCAGGTCAGAGGTCTAAGCTTACAGCTATTGGTTTGTTCTCCTTTAGCACATAGGTGTAGAGATCTCCCAAGTAAAATACCTAGTGAAAAAAACAGGGAGCTGAATGCACAGCCTTGAGGGAGAGCAACATTGAAAAAAACAAGAATGGGAAAAGAAGTCCCTGAGGAAGACCAGGAAAAAGGAGTAGAGAGGTACAAGGAGAAGTGGCAGATTATATCAAAGGAACTAAGGAAGAAGAGACATTCAAGTAACTCATGGCCTCCACTCCCAAACTCAGCAGAGACTTCAGTCAGGTTCAGAGAAGTCACAAGGAGAAAGTGTTAGTAGCATAGACTGTGAATCAAGCTGTGTGGGCTTGCATCGTCTCCACTGTTCACACTAGCTGTGCATCTTAACTTCCCCGTGCCTCACTTGCCTCATCTGACCACCTCATGGAATAATAGTGTGCTTACCCGATAGAGTTAATATAACCATAACATTGATCAATATTTGTAGAACGTTAAATTTTTAACTTATAGTAAGAATGAAATATATTTATTGAATTTAAATCAAGCCATTCATAGATGTTAAGACTGGAAACTATGCAGTGGATTTGCAAATGAATGGTAGTTTTGACACACACATCGGTACAAGGAAAACGGAAAATCTGAGTAAGATCGGTGATTACATCAATGTGAGTAACCTGACTGTGATATTGTGCTATGGCTTTCCAAGATGATGCTAGTGGGGGAAAGAGTACCTGGTGATCTCTTTGCACTATTTCTTACAACTGCGTGACAATCTATTGTTAGCTCAAAATAACAAGTTTAACTAAAAAATATTGGCAACCATGGAAAATAAGGTGGTTTTGACCTAAGAAAGAATGATTTAAATGACACAGTAGAGGCACAAGCCAAGAGTTAAGGAATAAATGCAGATGAGGGGTTATATAGACTGAATTTAGACCACACTTTCAGGAATTTTATATAAGAGTATAAGAATGAGATCTGCCAATAGTTAGAGCTGTGTGTGCATGTAAAAGTTGCTGTTATTGGTGGTGTTATGAGTATGTCTTCTTATGCATTTTTTAAAGGGTGAATGAGACTTGACTAGCATTACAAGATGTAAGTAGACAGCCAGGAAGAAGGAAGAGACAGGGAGGAGAAGAAAGGGAGGGAGGCATAAAAATTATAGATATAAAGGGGAATCAAGATATCATAGGAAGTGGGATTAAAATTCCTGGAGAAATGGGACATTCTTTTCTTTTACTGAAATAAGCCAGTAAATAAATACCAATCAAGTGCCTACTATGCACTGGACTTCACTCTAGGAGTTAAGCCTGTGGTTTTGTTTGAACAAGACAGATAAAATTCCTCTCTCCTGTGATAAAATGAGATAGTTCTGTAGATACATTTACTGCTGGAACCAGAAGAGCTGTAAAGATGTATAGGAATATTACTATAAATAGATGAGGAGATATTTGATCACGAAAAAGTGACAAGATTATCAAGCTGAGTATAAAAATTGCTAATTAGTAGTGACTCTCATATCTGGATTTTTGTTTGTTTTCAGCAAATAGTAGACAAGTAGGAGACAAATCATCGACTGATCCTCGAGTTTGGTGACCCCAGAGCCACATAGGTATTGTGACAGGCTGGAAACTGGCTTCCCAAAATATACTGAGACCCTAATCTCTTGAACCTACCTCACATGCCCCCTTCCCACCCTCCAAAAAACAAACAAAAATATTGCAGGTATAATTTGTTTAAGGATCTTTACAAGGAGAAATTATCCTGTATTATCCAAGTGGGCCCTTCAGGCCACCCCAGTTGTCCTTACAGGAGAGAGGCAGAGAGATGGGACACACATACAAAGGAGGAAGTGATATAATGATGGAGCAGAGAGACATTTGAAGATATTGACCTTGAAAATTATAGTGGTGCAGCCACAAGCCAAGGAATGGTGACAGCTGCTGGAAGCTGGAAGAGGCAGGAAAAGATTTTCTCCTAGAATCTCTCAAGGGAGCAAGGCCCTGCTAATACCTTGCTTTTGGCTCAGTTATTTATTTATTTATTTTTTGAGATGGAGTTTCGCTTTTGTTACCCAGGCTGGAGTGCAATGGCGTGATCTCGGTTCACTGCAACCTCCGCCTCCTGGGTTCAGGCAATTCTCCTGCCTCAGCCTCCTGAGTAGCTGGGATTACAGCACATGCCACCATGCCCAGCTAATTTTTTGTATTTTTAGTAGAGATGGGGTTTCACCATGTTGACCAGGATGGTCTTGATCTCTTGACCTCATGATCCACCTGCCTCGGCCTCCCGAAGTGCTGGGATTACAGGCTTGAGCCACTGCACCCGGCCTGGCTCAGTGATATTAATTTCAGACTTCTGACTTCCAGACTGTGAAAAAGTAAATGTTTGTTGTTTTAAGTCTTCCAGTTTGTGGTATGTTGTTACAATTGCATCAGGAAACTAATACAGGCATGATGGTAGGACACGGATAAGAAAGAAGGGAGGTTCAAGGAAGTATTTCAGGAGCTCAACCATATAGTGCAGATTAGTGTGGAACTTGTGACACTAAGAAAGGTAGTGATCCCAGAGGTCTTGCTTGCAGAGTCAGTGAACAGAATGTAGTGAGATTGAGGGCTTAAGACAGTTGAATGGATAAAAAGTCGTGGTCAAGAGGGTGAGACCATAACTTAGGATATCAGGAATTAAGTCATTTCAGGTAATAAAGTCCAAGTGATATACATCAGAGTGAAAAGTGGAATGGAAAAGAATGGCATTCAAAGAGTCAAACAACACTGAAGCTCAGGTGAGTGGCTGGTAGGAGGGTCAGCTGAATGCATATCACTATCAAGCCAATGAAAAAGATTTTCAAGTCAGCGATCAATGTCTGTAATGAGTATGAGACAGAAACTCTGCAGGTAATGACATGAGATGCCCTGATTCTGGTTCTCTGTGGCTCAGCTCTGATAGACAATTTTCTTGCTTTAGGAAGTGCTGATCCCCACTTCACATGATACTGGTGGGGCTCTCAATTCCACTTATGATCACTTTCCCTGGTCACAGGACTAGGTCAAATGATGCAGGCTTGTCCAGAAACAATTCTCCATTCACTGGGCCAAAATGATTGGTTCAGTGTCACGTGACTAAAGCTAGATCCTACCTTGCTAGAGTTATTAGTGCTGAGAAAAAGAGAGTAAAAGAGAGACCATCCTGATCCACTGTTGGAGCCTTAATCCAGCCATGCCTGATTCTGTAAGGTATGAGAGTCAATAAATCTTTAATCTAAGATACTTTGAATGGGTTTTGTTATATTTACTCAAAAATATCCTAATTTATACAGAATGGTATTATTTTCTTGTTTTTTGTTCTTTACAGGGTGGCTACAAAGAAATCAATGCAGTCTTGCAGTTTCTCTGGATGATATTTCAGTGCTTTGGAAGATAACCACCAGATAAGTGGAGAATTTCTATTTTTCTTAGTTATTGTTTTACTGTCTAACCCCAACCACAAGAAAGAACATATTGGTTTATTTTAAAAACTTTATCTTCACAATGGGAAGGACATGAGCTATAGAGCATTATTTTAAAGACTAGTAGAAAGATGAAATGGTGCAAAAAAAAAAAAAAAAACAAATGTGCAAAACATTAGAATTTTCAAGAAAATTAAACTTCACAGTTATTTTTACCCATTTGAAGCAAATCTATTCACCATATCTCTATTAAATCCCTATGTAAGCCAGGTACAAATAAATGAGATGAAAAATTTGAACTGACTTCCAGTTGCAAAGTAACAATTATATTATATGATGAATTTCTTTCAGAGTCAAATGTTGGTATATTAGTCCATTTTCCCACTGCTGATAAAGACATACCCAAGACTGGGAAGAAAAAGAGGTTTAATTGGACTTGCAGTTCCACATGGCTGGGGAAGACTTAGAAACGTGACAGGAGGCAAAAGGCACTTTTTACATAGTGGCAGCGAGAGAAAATGAAGAGGATGCAAGAGTGGAAACCTCTGATAAAACCATCAGATCTCATGAGACTTATTCACTACCACAAGAACAGTGTGGGGAAAACTGCCCCATGATTCAAACTATCTCCCATTGGGTTCCTTCTACAATGTGGGAATTATGGGAGTATAATTTAAGATGGGATTTTTGTGGGGACAAAGAGCCAACCCATATCATTACATCCCTGGCCCCTCCAAATCTCATGTCCTCACAGTTCAAAGCCAATCATGCCTTCCCAACAGTCCCCCAAAGTCTAAATTCATTTCAGCATTAATCTAAAAGTCCACAGTCCAAAGTCTCATCTGAGGAAAGGCAAGTCCGTTCTGCCTATGAGTCTGTAAAATCCAAAGCAAGCTAGTTACTTCCTAGATACAATGGGGATACAGGTACTGGGTAAATACAGCCATTCCAAATGGGAGAAATTGGCCAAAACAAAGGAGTCACAGGGCCCATGCAAGTCCAAAATCCAGCAGGGCAGTCAAAATGTAAAGCTCTAAAATGATGTTATTTTATTCCGGGTGTCATATCCAGGTCATGCTTGTGTAAGATGTGGGTTTCCATGGTCTTGGGCAGCTCTGCCCCTGTGGTTTTGCAGGATACAGCCTCCCAGCTGCTTTCACAGGCTGGCATTGAGCATCTGCAGCTTTTCCAGGCACACGGTGCAAGCTGTATGTAGATCTACCATTCTGGGGTCTGGAGGATGGTGGCCCACTTCTCACAGCTCCACTAGGTGGTGCCCTAGTAGGGACCCTGTGTGTGGGCTCCAACCCCACATTTGCCTTCTGCACTGCCCTAGTAGAGGTTCTCCATGAGAGCCCTGCCCCTGCAGCAAACTTCTGCCTAGGCATCCAGGCATTTCCATACATCTCCTGAAATCTAGGCAGAGGTTCCCAAACCACAATTCGTGACCTCTGCAGGCTCAACACCACATGGAAGCTGCCAGGGTGTGGGGCTTGCACACTCTGAAGCTGTAGCCCAAGCTCTACATTGGCCCATTTCAATCACAGCTGGAGTGGCTGGGACGCAGGGCACCAAGTCCCTAGACGGCACACAGCATGGGGACCCTACATCCTGCCCATGAAACCATTTTTTCTCCTAGACCTCTGAGTCTGTGATGGGAAAGGCTGCTGCATGCCCTGGAGACATTTTCCCCACTGTCTTGGGGATTAACATTCAGCTCCTCATTACTTATGTAAATTTCTGCAGCCAACTTAAATTTCTCCTCAGAAAATGAGATTTTCTTTTCTGTGGCATTGTCAGGCTGCAAATTTTCCAAATATACTCTGCTTCCCTTTTAAAATGGAATGCTTTTAACAGTACCAAAGTCACTTCTTGAATGCTTTGCTTCTTAAAAATTTCTTTTGCCAGATACCCCAATTATCTCTCTCAAATTCAAAATTCCACAAATCTCTAGGGCAGGGGAAAAATGCCACCAGTCTCTTTTTTAAAACCTAACAAGAGTTACCATTTCTCCATTTCCCAACGATTTTCTCATCTCTGTCTGAGACCACCTCAGACTGGACCTATTGTCCATATCGCTATCAGGGCAAAGCCATTCAACAAGTGTCTAGGGAGCTCTAAACTTTCCCACATTTTCCTGAAATCTAGACAGAGGTTCCCAAACCACAATTCTTGACTTCTGTGCAGGCTCAACACCACATGGAAGCTGTCAGAGGGCTTGCACCCTCTGAAGCCATAGCTTTGAACTGTTCCAACTTCTGCCTGTTACCCAGTTCCAAAGTCACTTCCACATTTTTGGGTATCTTTTTAGCAACACCCCACTTCTGGTGCCAATTTACTGTATTAATTTTCACACTACTGATAAAAAACATACCCAAGACTGGAAAGAAAAAGAAGTTTAATTGGACTTACAGTTCCACATGGCTGGGGAGGCCTCAGAATCTTGGCAGGAGGTGAAAGGCACTTCTTACATGGCAGCGACAAGAGGAAATGAGGAAGATGCAAAAGCAGAAACCCCTGATAAAACCGTCAGATATTGAGAGACCTATTCACTGCCATGAGAACAATATGGGAGGAACCACCCCATGATTTAAATCATCCCCCATGGGTCTCTCCTATAACATGTCAGAATTCTGGGAGTATAATTCAAGATTAGATTTGGGTGGGGACACAGAGCCAAACCATATCGGTTGGCAACACACTGAACTAGGGCTCTACCATTAATTAAGTATACAGAAATACAAAGTTTGAATAAGGATAAACATAAGGAATAACATAAAAATGATTCTGCTTAATAGAAATTCAGATACTTCTTAATTTTTTACATCGTCTGCTAATTAAGAGGGAGTGTTAAATTGGGAAACCACAAAGGTTCCACTTCATCAGCACTGTTTTTTGGTTTGGTTGGTTGTTTCAAGCCCTTTCATATGTCTGGCACTGGGCTAGGCTCTGAGGATACGATGGAAAAACAGAAGGCCTAACCCTTTGATGCCTGTCAGAGGATTCTCTGGGACATTACAGGGTTTATCCGGTCCACTCTTGACGTTTATTAGGTGATACAATTCACACTCAAACACAAGTGTCCTAAAACAATATAAATCTGCCTCTCCTAAATGAGCTCATTATTTTTGTTTTAGCCGCACCAAAATAGAGTTCCTAATTCCTATCCAGCTTGCATCAGTTTTACTTGTTAATTAATCCCAGAACATCAGTTTACTTGAATTGAAAAGGCTCATCACATTCAAGTGCCTCATTTTTTAATATAAGGCAAACTGAGGCAAAGGATGTTAAACGATCTTCACAGAGCAAGAGAGGCCACTTTTCACCCTCAGCCCAGTGTTTGACTAAACCACACTGCGAAAGATAACAATCAATGAGGAAAAAAATTAGAGGGTTTAAAATCCTCTTTCCTTCTTCCTCAGACAACTGAGAAATAATATTCTTTATGGTTGTGGTTACTGGACTATGAGAGTAGCCAAATTCAATATGTCTTATTTATTCTTAAAGATTGGGACTCTCATTCTGGAAGTACTTTTAACTATTAAAGAAAGATTCCTCTTTCCCTTTCCTTCTTCCTTCCTTGTCTTCCTCATTTTTTCTACACTATCTCCTCTTTTCTTGTAATATTTGATCATTTATTCCACACAAAGTTATGGAATGTATAGAGTGGGTAAGTTGGATGCAAGCAATATAAAAATCTGCACAGCACCTTTCTTGCTCTCAGTTGTCTCACAATTGAATGGAAAGCAAGATGCATTCAGTGAATCATTACAAAACATTGTGATGCATGTATTATGGTTTATCACAGAAGAAATTTTGGACCCTTTTGGAAAGAGGAGAATTAAGAGCTGGGTGATGAGGGAAGAATTGTAGGGAAGAAAATGGTGGAAGAGATTTTGAAATAAGGGAAGGGCATTCCAGCATGAACAACTACCACTTGCAAAGGCAAATATGATTCTCTGCAGGTCCTCCAAAGAAGCATGCATGCAGTAGCAAAAAAAAAAAAAAAAAAAAAAAAAAAAAAAATCTCAGAATCTGGGGATACATATCATTGGGAAGAGATACTGTTTAGTAGAGCAGAAACACTGTTGGACTGTTCTCCCATCATCTGTTTCTCAAATGTGAGGCAGGGCTAGCAAAGCATCCCACATCAAGAGAGAATTAGGATGGGGGAAGAGGTAGAAGTAAGGCAGGAAGAAGGTGAAAGGCAAGAACCAGTCCGTGAGGTTGGACTAGTAGGTAGGACCAATTCTTTCTTTTCTAAATGCATGCCGCTTTCTCTACAGATCAGTGACTTCTAGTACTTCCCTACTTGCTTTTCTTTGACATTTTTTTCTTTTTTTGCTACTGAATGTTTCTTTGATTATTGCTGCCAACCTTGGGAATGGATTAATGACACGCTTGCTTCTTAAACAGCTCTACAGATACCACTTAGGAAGCTGATGTTCATGTTCTCAGACTGAGGAGGAGCAGTGTCCAAAATCAACTACCTGGGATGGTGTGTGCCAATCCTCCTAGCAACAAACTCAGATCTTTGGAGCTTGATTGATAACATGTACATTGCTCAAGATACCCTGAGTTCTAAGTTCAGTGACACTGTTTCAGAGGACAATGGGGTCATATATTTTACATTTATTTAATGTGAATTTTGGAAGAATTTGATCAAAATGCCAACTTTGGCTTTTTGAAAAAAAATCACAATAAAAGATAAACAGTAATTAATGATTTTTAAAACTGGTTAACCGTTTGCAGGAGAATAAAACTGGACCCTACCTTTCACCATATACAAAAATCAATTCAAGATGTATTAAAGATCGACATGTAAGTCCCCAGGCTATAAAATCCTAAGACCTTAATGGTACAGTCTCCATTTCTTGGTGGGAATGTAACTTGGTGCAATCACTGTAGAAAGCAACTTGGAGATTTCTCAAAGGATGAAAAATACAATTACAATTTGACCCACGAATATAATTACTGAGAATATACACAGAGGAAAATAAATTGTTCTACTAAAAAGACACATGCACTCATATGTTTATCACAGCACTACTCACAATAACGAAGACATGGAATCAACCTAAGTACCCATCAATGCTAAACTGGGTAAAGGAAATGTACATATACAGCATGCAATACTGCACAGTCATAAAAAGAAATGGAATCATGTCCTTTGCACAACATGGATGCAGCTGAAGGACATTATCCTAAGTAAATTGGCATAGGAACAGAAAACCAAATATTGCATATACTCGCTTATTCATGGGAGAGAAGCCTTGGGACATAAAGATGAGAATAATAGACACAAGAAACTCCAGAGAAGGAGAGAGAGAAGGGGGCAAGGGCTGAAAAACTTTCTATTGGGTACTACGCTCACTATCTAGGCGTTGGGGTCAATAGAGGCCTAAACCCCAGCAACTCACAATTATACTCTTGCAACAAATCTGCACATGCACTCCCTGAAATCTAAAATAAAAATAACAGCCAAAAATGAAGGTAATTAGTGATTTTAAATTTTATTATAATCTTCTGTATTTTTCTATATTTCTATAAGGAGCATAAATTAGTTTTGTAGTTAGTGATGGAAACATTATTATAAAAAGGAGATAATCATCACAGCCATCAACAAACTTACCTGGGTAAATTTCTATCCTCTTCCCTTATGAAAGTTGCAAAAATAAAAAAGACCATTTCTTGCTCATCTAGAATGTACACCATTCTTTATAAAATGCCTGGTCATTACCAATTTCTTGCAAGTGTGTTTTTCACACTCTGGGAATATAGTGGATGGGTTGAGAAAAAGGTACCATTTGTTGGAGAGAAAGCAGTATTAGACTAGAAATCGGGGTAGGTTATACTTTTACTGATGATATGGCCATGGACAACTCCCTTACCATCATAGCATCTGTTTGTCAACAGAAGATGGGTCCAATAAAATATCCCCCATCTGCCAGACAGGATGACTGAAAAGAAGTATAAATATTTCCTAAGCTGCAAGGTGCTTTATCATTGTAAGCTGTTTTTCAGATGATTATTCTTAGTCATAAATACTGCTTAGAAACTCAGTGTGGGCAGTCTTCGTCTAGAGACCTACTTATTGTGCAACTGGCAAAGAGGCCCTTCTGAGATGATGCATATGCAGACAGTTTAGATACACATAACTAGAAATGGTCAAACTGTAAAATCTACCCTTTCCCACATTGTACATCTCAAAAGCAGTTTTCATGTTTCATAATAATAAGGACACTCACATCTATAAATTCCCTTTTCAAATGCCTACATCTTTCAACCAATTTGCTGCCATCACAATTTATTTTTTAGCTGGTTTTATTCAGATGAAAATAGTTTATTTGAGCACTTTGGAGTTGGTGTTTGAGAATGCTATATGAGTATTAAGTACTGTATTATAGTTCTGATGCTCTTTAAAGATTTTCTTTTCTGCCTGCAATTTGTTTTTAGAGGCTTTTTCTCTTGCTCTCTTTATATTGATTTTATATTTGGCACTATTAAAAAGTGCTCAATAAACAACCTTTTTGGAATGAATCTAAATAACTATGTATCTCTATGTATATGCATTTTTAAGTGCATTATCTTTTAGTATCAGACTTATGTAATGATTAATTTGCTACTCAAATTCTAATTCTTATTCAATCAATAACCATTGCTCACAATTTTAAACACGTTTTATTGATTTTTGAACATTTAGGTCATTAGTAGTTAGATCAATGTTAGCCATAATTCACCTTTAAATTTACAATGTTCAGATTATTAAAAATCATTTGCTTTTATTTCCAGCATAATTTATTTTTAATGGAAATTCTTGGGGTTATTTTTCTTTTTAAAGCAACTATGTCTTTTTATAATTGTCTGAGTGTCCAATTGCATTTTCTTACTTACTAAGGTTTTTACTAGCTAATCAGTGGCCTTTCTGTAAAGTGATAGTTCTCTTTCTCCCCTATTTATAGAGATTTTACTACACACTTCCTTCCGCCCTATTTTGTTCTTTTTTTAAACACGTTTCACCTAGTATTGAGAGAGTTCATTTACTTGTGTGTATTGCTCAGTACATGGTAAACTCTGTGGGGAAAGGATTTCTTTTGCACATCATGTTCACTACATTATCCCTGTATTTAGCATAGTTCCTAACAAGTGGTAGTCTAGCAGGTATTTTAAATGAATTAATTAAGGAACCTAAGGAACCATAAACTACAAGAGACCAAAGAACAGATGTACATATAAATACATAAAGATATAATCTACATGACAATGAAAAGGTTATGTTAGAAGTAAAACCCTGAAATGCATTAGAATAAATATTTTATAACACTATCCAGGACACCTAACAATTGCTATTTTCTATTGAATAAGGGACATTTTGGAGTCCAGTCAGCAAACAACTCTCTCTACCAAATGAAGCTGACTGTAGGTCAGCCTATCTTTGCAGTGCCTGGTAGAAGATAAGCAGAGAACACACAGGGCTCAGGTCCTCTGAGGAAGAGTCAGCTCAGAGAAAATAGAAAATTCAATCTTAGCATAGTAAACATGTAAGAATTCAGCATCTCATAGAAAGAAGATACTGAAGGGAAGCAAAGAATCAAAAACAATATAAATAAATAAATCATCCACGCTCTCAGAGAACTTTTGAGTGCATAAACAAAAAACTATAAATCTTACGCAAATAATAATAAGGCTCTGGTTAAAACAAAACAAAATGAAACAGAAATAGCATAGTGTAATTAAGAAGAGCAGGAAAAACATATCCCCAAAGAATTCAGCGTGTGGTTGGTGAATTCAGAGCAAACAAACATAGAAAAATACACCTTCTCAGCCACACAAAAGAAAAGGCCTCCAAGGATTCAAATTAAGGGTACCACAGTGAGGAGAAAGGAGGAGTTGATTACTGCGCAAAATATTTTGTCTCTGTCAAGGCTTCAGTTCATGAATAAAAGGTGTGCAAGGCCTCCTTCCATAGTGTGCATTCAGTCCTTCTCAATGCATTCCATAGAATGCATTCATTTTCACATTAAGTTCTCAAGAAATCAATCAACTAAAAACCTCCCACATGTGTTATTATAGTTTCTACCAGGACTAGGTGGACAGGTCCCCTCTGTCTGTAGCAGTTGCAAAGCTATTGCCCAGAGTGGAAAAAAAAGGAAAAGGAAAGGAGCTTTCCACAAGGTTTATTTCTTCATGTTAAAAACTCTTGCTAAAACGCTACCACACTAGCTTAAGGATCACATTTTCAGTAAATAGGACCAACATTTTAAAAGTTTTGTGCCATTTTTATCCTGTAAGAACTCTCAAAGAGATCCAGAATTCATGTATTTAAAATTTGTCTCAAGTAACAAATAAAAGAAAAAGAAAATGAACACCTTCACAGACAAAAAAGAAACATACTCCAGGTAAAGCCAAAACAATAGCATTTTCTATAAATAATGTAGGAAAACAGCTTTATGACTTGAAAATAACACAAGCCATTAGTTATTAGTATTAGATTGCCAAAATAGTCACAAATGTCTCTGCTTCCTGAATCTATGCCCTTAGGCAGCCCACTTCCATATCTGTGCTGGGCTTGGCCATGTGCTCGTCTTTGACAATCAAAAAATTGCTTCAATGAAAGGCCTAAAAAGCACTAGTGCACTGAGGCTTGCCCTTTTTTGCGGCTCTCAGGACATGATCTTACCACTGCCATATGAAAAAGCACAGGTTAGTTTTCCTGGCTGCCAACCTGCCAACTATGAGATATTTATGAAACATCATCCTAGATCATCCAGGTCCAGCTGATGTAGTTCAGATATTAGCTAAACCATCAGAAGCAGATCTGTAAATCATGACCTAAATAAATGTTTGTTGTATTTAGTTCCTATATATGGAAGGGTTTGTTACACAGCAAAAGCTAACTTTGTAGTAATTGGTACCTAGAAACAAGGTGCTGTGGTAACAAAACTTAAAATACAGTTATGTGTCACTTAATCATGGGGATACTTTCTGAGAAATAGGTCATTAGGTGACTTCTATGTTGTGCAAATGTCAGAAAGTATACTTACACAAACCTAGATAGTACAACCTGCTACACACCTAGGCTATATGGTATAGCCCATTACTCCTAGCCTACAAACTTACATAGCATGTGACTATAACTGAATGCTGTAGGTAGTCGTCACACAATGTTAAGACACAATTTGTGTATTCATACATATCTAAACACAGGAAAAGTACAATAAAAACGTGATACAAAGGATAAAAAGTGGTACCTTTGCACTTACCATGAATAGGAATTGCTCTAGGTGAATCAATGAATGAATGGTGAGTGAATGTGAAGGCCTAGGACATTGCTGTACATCACTGTAGACTTTATACGTAAGCTACCCTAAATTTGTTTAATATATATATCTGAATAATTAATTTTAGCTAACTATAACTTTTCAAACTTTACAAACATTTTAATTTCTAAAAGCATTTATACTGTCTTATAATAACACAGCTTAAAACACATTGTACAGTTACACAAAAATAGTTTATATCCTCATTTTATAAGCTTTTTCAATTTTTTCTTTTTTTTTTTTTTTTACTTTTTAAACTTCTTTGTTAAAAACTATAACATAAAGGCACTCATTGGCTAGGCCTACACAGAATCAGGATCACCATTATCACTCGCTTCCATTTTGACATCTTGTCCCACTGAAAGGCCTTTAGGGGCAATAGCTTAAACAGAAGGTGA